CCCCCCCCCAAGAAATGGAAAATAGACAGAGGGAGTGATGCAGCGGAGGAGATCCGCGGGGCTGACGGTTCCCTGCCGGGCGTCAATAATTCACGGCGGCCGCTGCAGCCGCGTGTCTGTGCGTGATGAGGTGAAACGCGCGTGAGGCAGTTTAGTTAACGGAACATTTCTCTGAATAAACACAGAGCGGTGAGACTCTCGTGTCCCACAGCTTGTTCATTTCCTTCTGCAGGATTCACACTGAACTCTGAATCTACCTCCACAACAAAATCCTGTGAAAAATATTTTAAATATTTAAATATGAGAGGAAAACGACGACTCTCCCGTTGACTTTATTATTATTATTATTATTATTATTATTATTTATATTTATTGTGATATTTCAGATGTTGAATTGTGAGCATGTGAAGCGCAAACTTCACATCTGCAGCCAGGTCATTATAAAGTGATTAAACATTTAATCCAAAATAACTTTTCACTGAAATCAATTCAAAAATGAACTCACAGGCACGACGCTGCTCTGATCTGACACTGTGCAGAAAATACAAAACGAAATATTTCCACCGGGAGAAGTTTATCAAGTTCACGAGAGTGGGTTTCATTTAAAGATAATTGTCTATTATAAATGAAAATGACCTGAAGATTAAAGTGCGGGAGAAGTTTGGCCTTANCACACACACACACACACACACACACACACACACACACACACACACACACACACACACAGACACACACGACTTACTGTTCCCAATAATTGTAATTGCCCCACATTACTCTCCAATCACTATCATGATGTTGAACACGAGCTTTGCAGAGTCAGATCCATTATTCAGCTCCGCTCCTCTCAGCTGCTTTTCCATCGGGGCTATTTCAGGGATCAATATTTCATTCTACTTCACGGCACCGCGGAGCGTTTTACGCTTGTTTGGACTCGTTCCTAGATTCCCAGCAACCCCCCTCCCTCCCCCTCACTNGTGCGTGATGAGGTGAAACGCGCGTGAGGCAGTTTAGTTAACGGAACATTTCTCTGAATAAACACAGAGCGGTGAGACTCTCGTGTCCCACAGCTTGTTCATTTCCTTCTGCAGGATTCACACTGAACTCTGAATCTACCTCCACAACAAAATCCTGTGAAAAATATTTTAAATATTTAAATATGAGAGGAAAACGACGACTCTCCCGTTGACTTTATTATTATTATTATTATTATTTATATTTATTGTGATATTTCAGATGTTGAATTGTGAGCATGTGAAGCGCAAACTTCACATCTGCAGCCAGGTCATTATAAAGTGATTAAACATTTAATCCAAAATAACTTTTCACTGAAATCAATTCAAAAATGAACTCACAGGCACGACGCTGCTCTGATCTGACACTGTGCAGAAAATACAAAACGAAATATTTCCACCGGGAGAAGTTTATCAAGTTCACGAGAGTGGGTTTCATTTAAAGATAATTGTCTATTATAAATGAAAATGACCTGAAGATTAAAGTGCGGGAGAAGTTTGGCCTTATCCAAACAGCCGCAGACACTTTGGGTTTAACGGGCTTCATGGTGAGAAATAAAACGCTGCTTTAAATGCACTTGAACGCTCTTTATTTTCAGCCTCTAATGAGTCATTTACGATGAAATTAAAATAAACTCAGCAGAGACTTGTAAATGTCGCTGAGGTAGAAGCGGATCATTTCCCCACACACTCACAAACTCTCTCTATTATCGCTCTCACGGACACACACACTCTTTACTATTAGGCCTGTGTTTACTCCTCTGGAGCAGAGTCACTGTCTGGTCTCAGGAGCGCGCATCATCATCATCATCATCATCATATTTAATAATATTGATCTGGAGGACTGGCTCTCAGTCTGTTTCCAGCTGCAGGGGCGCCAGGTGTGAAACCAGGCTCGGGTGAACAGGTGAGTCAGAGGTGTGTGACTGTTTCCGCGGGGTTTTGGGTCAGTGTTGCTGATGATAACAGTGTGAGGTGGTGAAGAGTCAGTCCTTTATAAATCTTGTCAGCCGTGAGCTCGAGCGTCTCTCTCTCTCTCTCCTGGTTGAGACTGAGCAGCTTTCTGCAGCTTCTCTCACTCCAAGTCATTTCGTTTAATTCTCACAGAGAATTAAAAAAAAACAAATCTAACTATTGATCCAGAGGATAAAGCTCCAGAGAGCAGGGCCTTGCGCGTGCAGCCTGGAGCCGCAGCTCGAGGCTCTTTTTCCTGGAAAGCTTTAGCTTTACGCGCACGACCGGCGACGCACCCGCGGCTCTTTTACTCAGTGGACCCCGCTGTAGATCCACATCCAGAGGCCAGAGGCGAGCAGTCATCCATCCCTTCTCCCCGCGGTTCCTCTCATACCGACACACCGCTCCGTGAAAACACAGCACACACACACACACACTTACACACACACACACACACACACACATTTGGATGCATTTTACGCGCAGTAAGAGTGTGGCAGATGTTGCAAACCTGTGGCTTCATTTGTGTTGCTCAACGCACGGTGGGTTGCGCATGCTCCCGTTAAAATGTGGATGTAAGAGTCCCTTGTTACAGTTTAACACAGATATGTACAAATCTGAACCCCGGCAGCTCTACTGAGAACAGAAAGAGAAAATCATTGTAACACCGTGCAGTATTTACTGCTCACACAGAGAGGTTATAAAGTTCATCACACTGTGTTTGTCTCATTTCTATTGAGATAAATCAACAGTTTTGACCTTCAGTTTATTTATAGATCTCCTGAAGAGTCTCTGCTCACTTCATAGTCACAGTGTAAAAACAACTGACACCTGACTCCACACAACTGAGGAGGTTTTTTTTTTTCCAGTCAGAAAACATTCCGTATGTCAGTGTGATTTGACCCTCGGTGGCTTCCTTATCTAATAGACACCACGCAGTGACATCTGTCTGTCAAGTCACAGGTTTATCATTAACAGAGAGACCACAACACTGACGCGAGAGAGAGAGAGAGGGACAGAGAGAGAGAGACAGAGACACAGAGAGAGAGAGAGAGACAGAGAGACAGAGAGAGAGAGAGAGAGAGAGAGAGAGAGAGAGAGAGAGAGAGAGCTCATCCCTGACTTATTATTAGGCTACTTATTAACGTGTATGAGAGAGGGATGAGAGAGTGAGAGAGGGGAGCTGCAGAGATAAGTTATATAATATTCTAATCATGTGTCTCTTCTCTTTCATGTCAAAGTCTAGCTACACATTATGGCCCAGAGAAGAAGAGCCCGCTGAGATACGATTTTTTTTTAAAATATATATTATTACGCAGCTGTTTATGTTGCAGGGAAACAGAAAGAAGCCAAAAAAAAAGTGTTTTTACGCATCTGAGAACTGTTTAATCCCACGGGCCGTGAACCCCTCTGTGTGTTTACTGTCGCTCCAAATGCTTTAATTCGTGCATAAAAAAAACTTTCCTGTATCATTTTATTTGTCTTTATAAAAGAGATCCGTCCCACAAAATGTATTCATGGGTCAGATTAGTTTTTTGACGCCCCCTCTGCTCCCTCCCTCCCTCCCTCTCTTTGTCTCTCCTCCCTCTCTCCTCCCTCTATCAGTCAGTGCGCCCGTTGGCACAGGAAAGATTGAAAGTGACACAGTGTGATTAGAACCCGGTCCTCTGCGCCGTTTCAACCCCGCTGTTCCTGAGACTCAGACAAACCGGTGTTTGCGTTTCGGTCAGCTGTGTGTTGTGTTTGTTTCTCCCGGGTTGTGCGTGTGTGTGTGTATGTGTGTGAGAGAGAGAGAGGGAGAGACAGAGAGAGAGAGAGAGTGTGTGTGTGTGTATTTGTGTTGGAGCGTTTTTCTCGGTTGTTGTTGGGGTTTTTTCTTTGCGCTTTTCTCTCCGTTTCCTGAGGATGAAGCGATGAGTTCAGAGGAGGGAAGAGTTCTGGCCTGAAGACACGGACAAAGACGCAAAAGGAGGACGAGAGGAAAAGTCCAGATTGCGTGAAAATACCAAGTGTGTGTGTGTGTGTGTGTGTGTGTGTGTGTATGTGTGCACGCGCTCGGGTCTGACACACGGGTCCACGGCTGCAGGACAGACCGCTGCCGGTGCTGTCAAACTCTCTCTCCGCCTCTATACTTCCACACAGCCGCGCATCCTCCGTCCACCTCCAGTGTCCGACATTCACTCCGCTGCTTTACGCGCTATCGTCGCCCCCCTCCCTCGCTCCTTCCCCCACCCCCACACCCCCCTGCCCACGCACACACACACACACCTCGTCGCCACGGGCCACTAACTGAAAACTTTTTCCCTGTGTGTGTGGATCTTCGGTCCGACTCCGAGTCCAGACTCAGCTCAGTACCAGCGTGATCCGCCGCCGTGTGTCCGGGAGCCGAACCCAAGCCCAGCCCTGGATTCAATACTCCTGATCAATGGACAGAGCCTCCTCAGCGGCCAGCAGCGCTACAGACACGCCGTAAACAGTGAGTGGATACACGCACGCACGCACACACACTCATCTGCTCACACACACTCATCTGCTCACACACACTCACACACACACACGCACACACACACACAGGCTGCACAGTGATTTAAACTCGCTATAAATCATTATGAAGTAAATACAAAAGAAATACGATAAAATAAAGACACTGATCGATTATTAAACTGATTGGAAACTTTTATTTTACATCAAAATTATTGTCCCTTAAGTCAATTCAATTGATTAAATTAACTATACTCTATTATTGTTATTATTATTATTATCATCAGTAGTAGTCTAATAAAAATATTTAAGACCAGCAATATATTTATTAGTTTTATTCGGATTATAAGAATTAAAATGATCTGAAATATATTTCTGCGATAATCCATATTATTAATTGTTATAGTTTTTAACAACACGCATATTTACCTCTAAAGTTCACGTGTGACTGAGTTCAGCTTCATGTCTCTGTGGTGTGTGTTCAGGTAAAATATATTTCCTTTAATATTAATATTTTGTACCTAATATTAGTTAATTCTGAAGTATTTTAAATATTGTGTGTAGATGCGTCAGTAAAATCACATATATCATAAAACAACTCAACTTGTCCGTAAATATTGTGAGTTAATTATTATTTAGTTTGTTTTATTCATCATTAGTTATTTTACTTCTTTTGGATCCTTGCAAAACGCTGCAGGTTTATAGACACACATTTAGAATAATTCACAACAAAACTTTAAGGTGTGTGTGTGTGTGTGTGTGTGTGTGTGTGGGTGTCAGAATAAATCCTGCTTTAATAAAAGAGGAAAACGTCTCTTTATGCGTCACCACGTCACTTCAGCCCGAGTTGTAACTTTTTAACTTTAAAAAAAATTAAATTAAATTAATGACTAATTACTGTGTGAGGTGTCGCTGAAGTTACTAATTAACACGTGCAGAGGTGAAATAATAGCGTCACTTTTACACCAGTAAACGATGAATAAAACATCGCGGAGGGAACCGAGCAGGAGCGGAACACGGTTCGGCTGCTATACGAGGCCTTTAACCTCTGGCACACATGGGACGGACACACACACACACACACACACATATATACACACACACACATATATACACACACACACACACACACACACACACACACACACACACACACACAGTTACAGTGGATGAAACACGCAGGGATATGAAGAGGCGACAAAGCTGCAGGTCTGACCGGGGGACAGTGCGCAGGTCTGGGGCTGAGGCCTCCGCTCTGCTCCGTGTGATCCTGACAAACTGAAGCCAACCGGTTTGGTTTCAAATGCAAGTGTGTGTTTCCGCAGAGAGAGAGAGAGAGAGGGAGAGAGAGGGAGGGAGAGAGAGGGAGAGAGAGAGAGGGAGAGAGGTCAGGAGTCTTTTCACATCCTCCATTCACGTTTTACTATTAAGTAAGTAAATAGCCTAAATAAACAAAAGTTTTAAATCCTCACGTGCACAAGTCAAACAACAGGTCGCACTAACAGAAGTGTGAAGCAGATTTTTCCTATAACATTTAAACGCCTCTCATCACGGTGACAGCAGCGGCTCTCCGCCTCTACCGGGAGCCCGTCGTCCTCTGTGACCTTTAACGAAGCAGCAGCAGCGGGCTGACTCAGCTCTCTCTCTCCCCCCCAAACCACCAGGAATCCGCACAGCGTTTAACTTTACTGCGCTTTTCTCATAAACTTAAACACGTGTGAAATGTCAGTTTCCGCTCACACAGACGACCTTTTATTCTTATTTCAGTTGGAGCTGATTTCTCACCTGAGCAGGTAAAGAGCAGAACACTACATTTCTTTTTTTATCGCATATCGGCAAAGTGTAATATGATTGTTATAATAAAAACAGGTCTAATAATTAATTTAAAATAATGAGTCGTCAATCAGAGCGCGCGCATTGACAAAAAATAACAAATTTGAACAAAATAATAATAATAATAATAATAATCTGTGATTTTTCTGAACAAACCGCGAGGAGAAACTGTTTGCGCTGAGTCGGTGTGATGGTGTCTGACCCGCATGGTAAAAAATAAATAAATAAATAAAAGTTAAAGGGCCGCGCAAAGTCTGACGGGACATGAAAAAGGGGAGGTGGGGGTGTACAGAGTTTCACAAATGGTGGGAAACTCATATTTTCTTTTCTTCTTATTGTCTTTTTTAATGTTTCAGTCTAATTGCGGAGCGAGAGGAGCAGACCTGAAGCTCTGAGGGTGATGCACAAATTATTTATGGTCTGTGACCTCAGGCACATTATTGTAGTTTCTGCAGCAGCTAAAAGGTGATTTTTAATTTTTATTTTATTATTTCCTTTATTTCTCCTTTAATGACACTGAGTTAATCCGCTGAGAGGAGATTAATAATCCGACCACAGATCCTGCGCCTGTCTGTGT